ATTTTAAGAGAAAAATTGTTGTTCGTTTCCTCTTATCTCTTAAAATGCAATTATACAACTTTTTGTTTTTCAATGATACTCCCAAAAAGACAAACAAAAACTCTCATATATGGGGTCAAAATGGATATTTGATAATTTTTAGAATTCAGAATTCAAAATCTCTGCATTCAGAGTTCAGAGGAAAGAAAAGTTCAGCAATACCAATATATACCTCTTAATGTAATTATTGCACTTTCAGATGTCAGATTTCAGAGCAAACGAACAAGCCCTTAGTGAATGTATAGGGATATGTGTATCCTAAACAAACCTAGGTTGATTTAGGCCACATTTGGGAGTATTTAAGTTAAAAATAAGTACTTCAAAACAAGTACTTATTTGAATAATCACTTATTTGTATTTGTCATCCAACTTTTTCAAATGCTTATTTGAATAAGCACTTATTTCATATTGGGCGTATGATAGTCTTTTTCTCCAATAAGCATTTAAGTAAGCATTTATGACTATTTTGTCATTCATTTTCTTTCAAATTTTCAAAATATACCCTTATGAAAGTACTTTTATTAAATTACTTTTATAAAAACACTTTTATGAAAGTACTTTTATGAAAATATTTTTATAAAAATACTTTTATAAAAGCACTTCATAAAAGTACTTTTATAAAATTCAACTAGGGATAATTTTATAAATGGTATTTTAAAATTCAACTAGAGATAATTTTGGAAGAAAAAAATTGAATAAGTGCTTATTGTATAAACACTTAAAAAGAGCTGGAAACTTGGACTTAAAACATAAGCCCTTATTTTTCAAATAAGCAGTTATTTGGGACTTATTTCTTAAATGCCAATAAATACTTAATAGCTCAAATAAACACTTCTAAACACGGCCTCAAATCCGGTCTTTAGCATGCTAACACTAAGAATAAGAACTAATAATTTTGTCCATCATTCTTAATTGATTATATATATAGTGATTGTTACTGATTATAATTAGAGCGGGTTAGCCTAACCCATTGAATTTGTGAATCATCTTTTTGACAAAACCAAAGCCAAGCTCATAAAATTAGGGCTTCTCATGGTTCCATTAATCAAATTGTAGGCATATATTTGAAACTGAACCAGTTATTCAATTTTTAGAAAATATCAAATCAAAACCAAACTGAATCAATCGATTAACTAATTGACTACTTCGATTTTTTGGTTTTTTTTAATTTGTATTTATAATATATATTATAAAAATATATAATTTAAATATTATAAATATATATTATATATAATAAAAATTAATCTTTATTTTTTTAACAAGTCAATTGAAACCAAACTGATCGATTTTGGTTAACTAGAGTTTTTTATTCAGATTATCGGTTTCAGTTCGATTTTCGACTTTAGGTTTTTTTATGAACAGCCGTTACACCCCCTACATGAAAGGTAGGGTAGGACTTACTTGGGAACCTAGCTAACTAATAAGCCCGTGAGAACTAGTCGTTATTGAGTGAAAATAAAGAAAGGAACATAACGGTACAAAAGGCTCTCTTTCTTAATTCTAGCTAATGTTAGAAGATAGAAAGAAAGTAAGAAAAAAAAGCCCATCTTTGTTGACCCCATTTCTTCATTTGTTAAACCTTATTTTTTGTCCGTTTTATTATTACCATTTCCCTCCGGAAGAGCTAAAGAATCTTGGGCATATTAGGGATCGTATGATGCAAGAGCCAATATACTTCCCGTGCTACCATACTACCATACTGTTACACTCTCAAAAACCACTAAGAAGCATCAAGTTGTGCTTGATCACTGGGCCCCAAACTGGTTGACCCATCAGCTAAATGAGTATCGGGTAAGATCTGATTAGAAGTTGATTGGAACATAATTAAAATTTATAAACATATCATTATCAAAAAAAGGTACACATGCAATAGATGATGGACCACATGTAGGTAACTGGTCCCACACTAGTGACCCACCAGAGTTACTGCACCACATGATGAAATCTATCTCCTCAGCAAGTCACCAACGCATGGACCATACTACACAGATTAAGTTAAGGTGGTAGTTGATATATCAACAACTGCATGTGGGAATGACCTAACCACATAGAGGGCGCATGGAGCAAAGATATAAATATATATTTATTTATTGCCTTAGAGAAGGATTGGATGAGGAGGGTCAGAAATAGCTGCTGAGAACATTAGCCAAGGGCCTTATTTTATTCTTTAATTTTGGCTAACGTTTGAGCACGTAGAGTGTTTGAGTTATGGACTATTTATATTGTTTTAAATTCATTATTTCAATTGTAATAAATATGTTAAGAGGGGTCCCAATGTTTAAACATATAAAACCTCCTAAATCTTAGTGTATAAGTGTTTTGGTGACCGTAAAAACCAATACATATCAACACTTGAACCATGCTACGTAGGAACCCTCCAATTGAAACTGCACAAATGGCTAGAAATATTTCTTTTGGTTTTTCATGGTTCATATAATAGGGGATAAAGGTCGGGACTGAGCAGGGTGCAGTTAAGGTGACGGGGATCAGCTGCGTCCCATGGAGCGTACCCCACAGCCCATCCCATCCGTGCATTGGAAGGATCTCCCCATGACAAGCAGGGGAGATGTTCCCATGCATGGAAGGGATGGGTTGTGGGGTGCACTTTGTGGGCAGCTGAACTGATCACACACACAGGTTCATTGGCTATGGTTCCAATTGACCCAACTCAAATTAGGTATTGGGGTACTCGAGCTTAATTTGAATCAGAAACTCGATTCAAGCTTGATTGAGTTTCAAGTCTCCATTTTCAAACTTGACTTGAATCCATTATAAATAAATTAATGTTTATTTAAATTAATATTTTATTACAAGTTCAATTAGGCTCACGAACTGTTGGAGACTAGTATTGTAAAGCTCGAACTCAACTTAATTAAGACTCGAGTTGAAGTTGATTCAAATTCGATTATCTTTGGATGAAGTTCAAATATTTAGCGAATCGAACTCAAATAACTCAACCCACTACCCCTACCATTAGTGGGCATGTCAAAGAGAGTCTGTATTTCAATTTCTAAGGGGTTTGATCCCAAGCTTTCTATCTTGAAGCTGAAGGAATTCAGACTAAAATGGGTAGAAATATCTGTTCTGATCATGGTTTATTGCCGACCTCCCAAAGGAACCCTCCCAGGTGGGACCCACTCATCGGGACTGTGTACAGAGGACAGGTGTCCATGTGGGCCCATGGGTGCCCACTGAATGGGGACTAGGGACATGGAGAAGTATGGGGAGAGCTCCACTCACGTGGATGAACAGTTGGAGCATGGGCTGCCCAAGACATCAAACATTATTTCTGTCTTGTGCCTACAAGAAGGCATATGCGTAGGTTTCCGTGTATGGAAACTGTGATGTGAGCCATGGATGCAGTCACCACCAAGACAAGAATAAATACAAACTCCACTAGGTTCCACAAGACTCAACATCACAGTCTTATACACATCCAATCAATACTGCAAAGAAGGCAAGAGAAACACTGCTTGTGAAGAATGTAGAAGGAGAGGATGCCCACCTTATTTTCAAAAATATCCATTGCACCTGGGCGTCATCCTTCATCAGATTCCCACCTTATTTTAATCATAAGCTATCATCTGTCTATTGGGGTCACATACAATGTACCCTGATTTTGGCTGCCCACTCTTGACCCGAACCCGACCCTCACAAAACACATCTTCTCGTTTTAATTTTACAACTGTTTGGATTGGATGGCTTCTTGTTCTTGGTGGCACTGAATAGAGCTGTCAACGGAATTGGGGCTGGTTGGAAATAGGGTGATCACTTCTTCTGAACGAATTATTAAACGGGTCTCAGAATTGAAACGATTATTAATCGGAATAATCAAACCTAATTCAGTTAGACCTGATTTTACTTGACATTTATAATGACCCTTGATAATAACTTGGAACTTTTTATTTTTGATACTATAATTTTAATAAAAATAATAATAATTAATAAATAGTAAATTGGTTATATGCTAATAAAACAAATGTTTTAAACCAAAAATATCTTATATGTTGCAAGGGTTTGATTATGATGTAGTAAAGGTGAAAAAAATATGATAGCGAAAGAAACTTATAACCACCAATCAACTGGCATCACAAAAGTGATAACCAATCAGATGGATTTTCATCAAAATTCATGGATATCTATCATGTCTTTCCAGCATCATAAATTTTTTCATATTATATATAAAATCTATCCTTTTAGACAAAATATAACAAAAATGATAAAAATAACCGGGAGACCTTTATATATTATTAACTATATAATTAATTCGGATTCTAATTGATTCGGAACAGCTGATTCTAACCCAATTATTAATCCAGCCACATATCACATAATCAGACCCAACATAATCCGTTTAATCGCTTCGGTTCTATTGTATAGACCTGACGGTCCTGACCCATTGACAGCTCTAGCGCTGAACCTGAACCGACCCGACTATTACGCCTTTTAAAGTTTAAATGCGATATCCAATTGGGCCAAGTTTGCTCCTGCTTCAAACCCGAACCGATTCCCATGCAGAAGTCATTAACCATCAGTTGATCAGGTTGATTGTTGACGTATGAGATCTCATAGGTGGGACCCATTTGATGATGATTCCCGATCCCCTTCACGTAAGTCAGAGACTGTTGATAAAATCCCGACGACCACAGATTTTCTTCTTTAATAATACCAAAAGAAATGGGCACATAGAGACTTACAGAGAACATGATCTGAAAACAAGATATTGGAATGGAAATGGATAGGCAAGATTAAGGGAATTAATTTGGTCATAGACTTACTCTTCCATCCATTAAAATTCAAATCTCTCGTTAAGAGACAACTGGAGACTAAACGATAAAGAAAAGAAGGAAGACCAAATTAACAGTGGGCCCACTCTGCCCTACAATTGGGTTCCAGCATTTGCCAAAAAGAAGCCTCCAGTGGATCAATCAAGCCCAGTTCACAACTACTTAAACCCCCTCACCCCCCTTACTTCAACCCCCTCTGCTCATTCTCTCTCTCTTTCTCCTTCTCTCTCACTTTCTCTCTCTAGATTCTAGTTTCTCAAACACTAACAATGGCCAGACCACAACAGCGATATCGAGGCGTCCGTCAGAGGCATTGGGGCTCCTGGGTCTCTGAAATTCGACACCCTTTACTGTAAGTTTGTAAATGATCCAAATCCTGATGTTTCTTAAACGTTTCGATGTGTTCCTGGGATTAACTAAGGAAGCGTTTGGTTTGGCTCTGTTCCCAATTTTGGACATACAGGAAGACAAGAATATGGCTAGGGACATTCGAGACTGCCGAGGACGCAGCCCGGGCCTATGACGAAGCAGCCAGACTCATGTGCGGGCCAAGAGCAAGAACCAACTTCCCTTACAACCCCAATGCGCCGCAGACCTCTGCGTCCAAGCTTCTCTCTGCAACCTTGACAGCAAAATTACATCGTTGCCATATGGCTTCTCTCCAGGTGGCCAATTCTGTTATGAAAGAGCCTCAGAAAGCTCCGTCACCGATTGTCCTGTCCGATAACGGCATTGCCGGACAGTCGGAAGAAATGGGTGTGTGGTCGTCATCGAAGAGACCGGCCGTGCAACAGCCTGAGACCAATTGGGTCGTGAAGAAAGTCCAAATGGAGAAAACCCCACAGTTCAAACCTCTCGAAGATGATCATATAGAGCAGATGATACAGGAGCTACTTGATTATGGGACAGTTGAGCTCTGTTCTTCAACATTAGACTCTCTCTAGCTTCGTCACAAGCGTCTTCTCATCTCGCTCGCGGCTAATGCGACTCATTTTCTATTTAAACCTTTTCGAATCCCCCATCTGTGTTATTAGATCGTATCTGAGCTTTAGGTTTTTGTTCCAAGCGACTCATTCGATGGGATGATATTATTATCATATGTACAGTAAGAGAATTTCAATAGAATATATATGAGATATTACATATTCCAAGCTCCTCTGTTCACGAGCAGTAAAGGAACCCAAATTAAAGTTGCAAAGGTGAGGGAATTTAGAAGGTTCAATTTCTTTCTTAGCTTTCAAATTGCCTCCTTTCTTTTCTTCTCGGCCTCTTCTTGGGTTTCAAACTCAAAAAGTTATTTAGGCTGATTGAGTGGAGCTCTTCCCTTTAATGATTTTCCATTCAGGCCTTGACGATTCATAGTGGTGGGCTCTCTCTCTCTCTGTGGCGTGATTGTGAATGAGTTCACATGTGGTGCAACGTGAACTGTGTGGACAGATTTGGAGACGATGATGACCTCTCTTTGCTATTGCCTCTTTAACTGAAACTCTGAAAGTCTGAAACAGCTCTGAGCTGAGGTTCTAGCAGGTTTAGGTCCTTTGACTCTTGAAAGTCTGAAGTGCTACTTTTGACCCATTTCTTGGCTATTAGGCTCTCTGGTTAGTCCGATTTCATAAATCGCGAGGCACCAAATTTAAGTGATATCCCACTTGTGAATACCACGGCACACCATTTTTCAAGCGTTATGATGTTAAAGATTTATATCTTGATTGCTTACGTCAAAACGTTTTTTTTTTATTTTTTTTTATCACCTGCAATTGCGGGGATCCCCTCTTCCGTAATCTGCTTAACCAGTTAAGATACCGGGGATCTATCATAAAACCTTGAAAACAACCTATTCCATTGATTATTGAACATGCCTATTTTGGTGGCCCACCTCCTTCAATGTGATTGAGGTAAAAGATGTGGCATCAATTTTAACCGTCCGATCAGAACACTGTTCCATGGATGCTCAATGCAGAGAAGAGAAACCAGTCTACAAATTCATGGGGTTCAAAATTCTGATGGTTAGGCTCACCTTAGCTTGATTTAGGGGCCGTTTGATAACAACTGAAAATTACTTTGTCTTTTAGTAAATAAGTTCTTAAGGAGGTTGTGGGCTCCTTACTGGCTGAAGTTGAGGTTGAAAATTCTATTATTTAATTATTTTAATGACTAGATGGCAGAGTAATAAATCTTTCAGTTCAGCAAATTCAGATGTTAATAAATGGCCCCTTAGATTACCAAGAGCTACAATACCATCATAAACACCTTAGCTTGAGTTAATGGGGCTCTGAATTCTTTCCAAACCTGTATTATTATATACAAATTTGAGTGGTTAATTTTATTCATTTAGCCCAAATCTTGGATTTAGAAGCCCAATTGTTTGTTTTCCTTTTGTTAATTTTATGGGTATCTCCTAATCTCCTATGATCCTTTCATGTTGGGGGCCCATCTCTCTCAATCCACCTTAATGATTGTTGAGCTATTTGGAAATTGATTTTGTCCCCCACAAACATCCAACAATTAAAGTTATTACTCTCATTATTTTTTTCTACTTTTAATTCAGCAGAGGTGGTTAAAGGGATCACATGTCAGTGAGTTTATATATGATGAGGTTGTTTGAATTCTGTGACTTTTTGTCTGGGCTCAAAAGAATAATAAACTAAAAAAAAATTCAACAAATGTTCTCTTCAAGACAAAGAATCTCTTGGATGAAGGAGTTTAATGCATGATTCAACCTCTCGCCTCTGCACTTGAAATGGCTGAGATATCAGAAAACCCATTAACTTCATTCACACAGCCTGAGATCATAAAGATACAGTAACCCAATATGCCAATCTGTCTAAATTGTAGAGCATGCAGTGACTGAGCACCAGCAGTCTCATCAGATGGGCATGACCATCCAAGTGGGGCTCCATTGATAAGATGGGATCAGAAGCAAGCAGTTAAACAAGGCACTACACCTTCAGAGAAAATAATGGACTCTGGCCCATTGAAGAAGTGGAGGAGCAGTAAACTGGACATTCTACACTGATCCCAAGCTCATCCTGCAAAGTTATTCCCTTGAATCAATACCAATAGATCAAAAAGGAATTCAGAAAGTATAAGGTGATCAGATCTTCCTTAAAAAAGCAGTCAAATCCAATCATGGTCTATGGAATCTCATGTAGGGAGACAATCATACGGCCCTACGCAGACCCATAAACCCCTTCCAATTCTCTCTCTCACTGGTTTTCTACATCATTAGGTTTAAATACAAGGAATCAAATGAGTGAGTCATGCTAGATCCAAAGGTTTGTTTGCAACGGTTGGTGGCCTACTCACAAAAAGCCAAAACACTTTCTCCCTATAATAATCTTTTGTCACAGACACACTCCTCTTTCTTTTCTCATGTTAGGGTGATTTTATGTCTATGAAGTCTATAGACAAGACGAAAACCAAATTATCTAATAAAGGCTATGCATGTTATGTGTCAACCTTCTTATCTTTCTTCCTCCCATCCTTCACATGGTCACACTCCTTAGGAAATTGCTCAGCCCATGTGCTTGTTAGAATGCACATGGTTCTAACCACCCCCATCTCTTACTTAGCTAGATTAATTAAGACCCATCTCTCTCTATCTTACTTATCTAAAACGTATTGAAATACATTTTAGATATACTCATGTGTATGGGAAAAAATTAAGATATATATAATAAAAGAATAGTGTAATAGATGTTAATCTAATCAGGGCCCACCACTCATCCTGCAGATATCCAAAGATCAAAATCAACTTAGTTGGATGAAACCAGTCACATGATCTAGTGGGATTCCATCATGTTTCTTGAGAGACAAAAGACTGGTTATGATTATGTTATCAAGCCCTTTTCTGCTCAAGGTTATCTCTTTGTCTTTGGGGGTATTTTATCAAATGGGAGGTCCCGCCCTCTTGACTGTGTTGCCTTTCAAATCCTCAAATCCTTATCCCAAACAATGAAACAACAAAGAAAGTTACGTTAAGCTGGCGGCTGGTGCAAAGCTTTTGCCGAATTCTTTCACATCAAGTGACCTTGGATACTTGATTAAGTATCCACTAGGACGATCAGCTTCATCATACCATCACATGAGACTTAGATGCATGGCATGAGACCCATCATTTGATGGATCTAGTGGTACAGAGATGATAGATCATCCACGCAGTCTATCAAAGAGGTGGGCAAGCTAGAGAATTGGGGGGATTAGGTCCCCATGACTCCATGAGTATCAGATTCATAGTTTCTTTCCTTCTATTATCCATTAATACTGATTAGATTCTTCTTTCTTCTTTCTTCTGAGTTTGGTAGAAGAATAGATAATGAGATGACAATGTGTGTACGGGTCAAAGCTCTGTGCCCTTTCCTTCATGAAAGGGGCACATTTGAGCTACCCTTTTACCTAGCTAGAGTTCTATGCCCACACAGAGCTGAGCTAGGAAAAACCTAACTGATTTATGGAGTGGACAAATACCAAAGCCATCCAAACTGATTACTAGTTCAGTTGGAAGTTGGGGACTGAGGATAAGTCGATCCAATTTTGGTGGAAGCAAAGAAAAGATATGGGCATGGGGCCCTTCAACGTGTGATTTAGAAATTGACCCATCCATGAGGGTTGCTGGTTGAATGCAATTGGATCATGAATATGTATTGGGTCAGCCCAGTAGGGCAAGAAGTTATGGCCTATGGGGACTGTTTAATTGGAAGAGTGTGGTCCAGTGGACTAATCTGTCCAATTGATTAATTTGATGCAACTGATAAAAGCAGATGGAAGAAAAGTTGGGTGCTCATCAAACCATACGGTTAATTAAGTTGGCTGGTCTGAGCCGGTCTGGAATCTATAACATCGGGGTAGGTATTAGACACTACAATTAAACGGTGAAGTAAAACATACTAAAAGACCTGGAAGTAATATTGCAGCTAGCCACAGCTTCATCATTATAGCCATGAGAACTCTCATCTAGTTCTAGAGGGCTAAACCCACATTGAATGGGCCCCTCTTGAGAGATTTCTTAATTGATCATCTTTACATTCTGAATGTAGTTCATTTGTAAATCAGATTGAAAGCATGCATCCTCTCTTTCTCTCTCTCTCTCAGGAAGAATTCAAAGTGGGTCTCCTGTTTCTTCTGCATGGAACACATGGACCTGAAAGAGCACCTTTGACTCGTCCAATGTGGGCGTTTTCATTGCAATACTGCAAAAAGGCATTTAAGCTGCTTATACATAGGGGCCTACATATACATAATGATGTTCTCAACACTCTAAAGCATAAGACATGGGGGGAGATGATTAGAGAGAGAGATCAAAAGAACTTAGCAAGCTTCTATGTTTTTATCATTGAACTTCCTCTATGATTAGCAGAAAAGAAAAGAAGAGAAAATAATAAATTTTTGGTAATTTTTTATTATTAGTTTTAGAATGATAAGATTGGCTGTGTCAAAAGTTCAAATTGAATTTCTGATTTTGAAGATGATGGCTTTGTTTTCCAAAACAGAAACAACTGCCATTTCAGAAAAATAAATAAATAAATTTTTACTTATTTTACCAATATCAGCTTCAGTCAGTGCAAGTCCCATTCCAAAAAGTGTTCGAACAGCCTTTATAACTTTGGATTGGGGACATCTCCATATTTATATGGCTATATATTTTATTTTATGGGGAGATATTCCCAATGCAAGGCCATAAAAGCTGTTCCAACAGACCATGCACTCACTGAAGCCGAGTTTTATTTTACCATTTCAACTACATTAGATTGATGGACATTTGGGGACATTGTACTACTCCGTTCTACGTAGTCCTTTTCATTCTTTCAAAAAAGTAAATAAATAAACAAAAAAAAAATGAACAACTTTGGCGCATCAGATATTGGATTTGGTGGGTTGGTCCAATTTCTTTATTTATTCATCATAAAAAAATGTTAACACGTTTTAGTGTCCAATTAGGCTCTGTTTGATTTGAAAGAAAAGGTAGTGAAAAGAAGGGAAAAGTAGGGAAGCATTTTTTTTGGCATTGGTAGTACATATATAATGACAAAAGCTATTTGCTTTTTATGATTTACTTTAATATAAGCATATTAATTTTTTTGGGGGTAAAGAGCATATTACTTATATTATACTTAAAAAATATATCTTAGTCTTTAAACTTAAAATTGTTGGTACATA